GATATGTGCACGGTGCTGTAGTAGCACCTGCACAGGAAGAGGCTGAGTCGTTACATATAATGCACTGGCAAGTCGTTACATACAATGGGGTGCAGTTGGAAGCACTTCAACGTTAGTAATATGTCTTTATACCGCTATCAGCTGGCGCGCTTCGTGCGTGTGCGCACATGTGTGGGGCCGGCAACTACAACACGATTAAGTTATACACATAAAAGGAAAGAAAAAACTGTTCAGCCAAAGAAAATTCTACGCGTAAGGTAACGTGCAGCAGAGTAGAAGTCTGCAGGTTTGCGGTGCATTAATAAAGAGTTGAACTGCACGATGCATGCATCTTGCAGAGACAGATGACACAAATGACATAGTGCTTGCGTTTTCGTACCATATTTTTGATATTCTAATCGCCTGCAGCTGTGAAGCGGCTGGGAATTCTCGGATGGCTGCAGTTTGCAGCTGTTCCAGGAAAGTCGGATGCCCCTAAGCGAGGTTCGCACACTGTTTGTACGTTTAAACGTATCTCGTTTATCTCCCGAGTGCACAAATACAGTTTCAGTTATTTGCCTCTTATCCATCACGGAGGTCTATGGTGCTCGACTATTGACACGGAGGTCGCCGGATCGAACCCCGACTGCGGCAGCCAGATTCGATAAAAATACCAGATTGTCAATTTTTCCTGAGCCCTCCAATAGGGCGTCCCGCATAATCACATTGACGTTTTTGGACGTAAAGACACAATAATTATTACATTATGCTTTCTGCCTCGTTAGTATCACAGATCAACACTCTGGTTCGCGTTTATTATGGTGCACAAGACATGGAAGCATGTGAGAAAACTACGCTCTTTTGTGATAGCTAATTTCTTCGCGTGGTTTTGTACTTTCAGCGTCACAAATGCGGATTCGTCTTGTCTTGCAGAAGGGTTGACAGGTGGGCTAGTAGGTACAAATTCATAATGAAATTATTGGAAGCGCAAACCAACGGGACACAACATTCGTCTTGTCTTTTCGCGGTAGCTCAAGAATGCTGAAAGATGTGGGCCTACTACCTTGTTACTTGTGAGTTTCGTTTTCGTTAAAATTCTGAATATTGAATTATTCACTAACTGGAGCTTCTAGTGGTCTCCTTGAGGTATTTAAATAGTGTTTTGGGGGAATACCTTTAGTGAAGCTGTTTGTGCTGCAGCGTTTTTTTTCTTTATATTAGACGCAAACGCACCGTTTTGCATCGCGAGGCGAACCCGTGACACCAGAGCCGATGTTACACTCTCTAAACGCTGGATTTGTGAAACGTCGGACTGAGTTATGCGGATCGACTTTCCTTTGTGCTCTCAAGTCTGCCTCAATCATATCGGTACAATGGACCGTTCTTTGGACTCGCATACTTTTTTGGTCCTGAAAGGGCAAATTAGGCATCGATTTAAATTGTCAGTAGCCTAAACATCAAATAAATCGCTTCGTACGCGTGCTACTTCACTGTGTAGGTTTGAATGGACCGTAAATCACTTTTCTTATGTATATGTAAAGTGAATGAAGCGTTCGTAAAGCTCTGGGTACCAGATGATAAAATTTTCCTGAGCCCTCCAATAGGGTGTTTCGCATAATCACATTGACCTTTTTGGACGTAAAGGCACCACAATTATTGTATTACGGTTTCTGCCTCATCAGTTTCACAGATCACTACTCTGGTTCACGTTTAGTATGGTGCACAAGACACGAAAGCATGTGAGAAAACAACACTTTGCTAAAACGACACCTTTCAGGATATATGTTCATTCGGCAAAATGATATCCACGAAATCCCGCAAGGTGGCGGACGGTTTAAGAAAGGTGAAGTTGAGAACCATCCCGTCAGCGAAGCCGAAAAAAAAATCCACACGAATTTTTCTCTGGCTTGCTCCCTGAGAAACCCGTACGGATTTTTCGATAAGTAAGCTTCTTAGTTGCCGAAGGATTAGTCTTGATCCGATAATCGAACCCTGAACCAAGGCTTTCCCGGTGCGGTCAGTTTGCCACTTGATGTAACCAGAAAACTAGCAATCTGAAACTTCCTAGTTCCAATTTCTAGCTTTCTGGTTAGCTCGACTAGATAGGGCACAAAAAGATCTGTCGAGCTTGGTATTTATATTTTATTTATTTATTTATTTATTTATTTATTTATTTATTTATTTATTTATTTATTTATTTATTGAGCCTAAAACCAACATATTGTCACGCAACGTCGTGTTCCTCGAAAAACGCCAGAGACTGCCGCTCGTGATGCTGGCTTCTTCGTCCTTTTGTGTTTACGGCTAATAACCGTGACAATATAAGGTAGTTCATTCGCCCACATCAGTTGGCTCGTGAGCTCCCACCATGCCGCGGGCGAATTTGTTCACATCTCTTATAATTTTGAAATAATTCAAGTGTTTTCTTCGCGCAGACCTTGTTGTCCTCTCGTTCAGTAGCCGAGAGCTACAAAAAATTTCTCTATACGCCCCACAGTAGTTTTCAAGTCGAATTTCATCCTTCGCCGCCATTCCAGGCATCCACGCCGCTCTTCCGGCGTAGGGATTCCGTTCCGCTGCAGCTGTGCAGTTGTGCGCACTCATTCCTCAGCGGGTCACATATAATGTCAGGCAATCTACGAGCCTCAATCAATTCTTTAGACTAGGTATTCGAGAGAAAGAGTGAGCTGTAAGTACTCACCCTCTTTCGGATCAGTATGAATAGCAAAGTTATTTTTGTCGACCACACTTCTCTCTGTTCTTCTTTTTTTTTTGCGCGAACACCTACAATCATGATTGGGGGTTCGTCGCTGTCTTCATGCCTGTATATCCATATATCAATGAAGGTTAGAAGGTGATGGCTTTTGAACGCATAATAAAGTCCTAACTGATCAAAGTGAATCTACAACCTTTTATATCTGAGTCTCGCAGAGCACGTGTTTCGTTTTGAATACTTACTTTTCTTGTGCTACTGCACCCAACCCCCCAACCCCCTTCTTCACATTGATCTTTTTACGAATTTTCTTTCCTTCCAAGTGCAAGGTAGCCTACCAGGCTCGTCCCCAATGACCCTACCTGCCTTTCTTTTATCATTCTCCCTCATATTTTAAACTGAGGCCCAAGAGTTTCTGCATCGCGTTTTAAACTTGTTTCCGGTTTTTCTTGTACATATCTCCAAAAATTTAGTCAATCAATCCATTTCGTGACTGTTTCCTATAACTCATTTTTTCTTAATTTTAGCGCTCTTAGGAAAACGAGGGATTTTTCTTGTGTAAACTCCTGAAACATTTTCCTTCATGGGCATGCAGCGTAGTTATCAAAGTGGCGACTGCTTGAGCGCATGTCCTCGGCAGACACATCAGTCCTGCTGCTTTGTGATGAGCCGGCGTCACTATACGTTTGCGGGCCACCCACACAAATTCCGTGCGCGAGAAGTATGTTGTCTCACGAGCGTCATTTTCTCCCCGTCAGCATGCCATCAATGAGTGGCAGCCAGAGCCATCGACAGAAAAACGGCCTACTTGAGCTTGTCAATGCAGACACGTCGAGCCGTTTTACGTGGGCTGCACGCGACGTCCGGGAAGCGGTCCTTTCATCGCCCATTCAGGCGTGCCATGCAAGTCACATTGCAGGACAAACACTTAATGCTGGCGCGTGCTACCGACCATGTGACGGGCTCTTGAGGAGTCGCTTAACCGTAGAACAATAACCATGCTGAAGTCGTTTAGTTTTCCTGGACTTCGGTGTGCAATAATCACGAAACAATCAAGTGTGCGTGCGTGCGTGTGAGGGGAGTTGGGGGTGGAGGGGGTGCGTGCGTGCTCCGTAAAAACATTACAATAAACGAAAAGCACAAAGTACGGGAGCTTCTGGACATTACTCTTTTCCGTAACAATACCCCACTATTAAAGGAAATGGAAGGTCTTTTTCGAACGAAGTTCATTTCATTTCTCTTACCCCCACAAGTGAGCGGGAACATGCCGGCTCAGAACAACGACTTTACAGTAGAGAGCCGACATGGCGATAAAACTGTGGTGGACATTTATTTTGCGTCTTCTGGCAGATCTCCAGTGGCTTTTTGCAAGCACCTCGCACACTATACAACACTCAATGCAAAGTCGACTCTGTTTGAACATCAGCACTCCAGGAAGTTCTTACTGTCTGGTTATTCTTTGCTCGTGTAGATTCATTGAACAGTGACACAATAACCGGGTGTCCCTCCTGCTGGGGCTCACCGCTTCGAGCGTGGTCATCAACTAGTCAATTCACCTTGCCTTGTTTTGTTTTTCACCTTGTTTTGTTTTTCATTGGCGTCTCCCACAACCAAGGTGTTGCTTTACGGCGTCACCATCACCTTTCCATTACTCAAATGAATCACAAATATAGTGCCACCTTGAGTTTCCACCCCCTTTATTTTTCGTCAGATTGTTTGTTGTACATTAGATAGCGCTAAGCGGGCTCATGGCGTTCAAGTACGTAGGGAGCCAGTCATGGCACTTAAAAATTCTGAGGATTCGTTTGCTGGAGTCTTACGTGCATTTTATTCGATTATTGCTCTATAACAAATGGCAGCTTGACGTCGTATGGGAAAGCTTCTACGATCACCTGGTCCAGAAAGAATCTATGCTCAAGAAGTCCGCTGTAGTTAAACATGCTGAACCCCTATACCTTCATTTAAAGTAAGGAGCATCATCATACGGTGGAGATTGATGAATGTACAACTTAAGCGGACATCGCACCCTCTTTGAAGGCATGATCGCCGACATGTCGAAGACGGCAACGAAACCTGCCCCCTTCGCTTTCGACGCCCTCCGATCCGACCTTGGCGCGGCAGCGCTCTATTACCCGTATGAGCGTCCGCGCGTCCTCTCAGTGAGGTAACGCCTGTTGATTGTGAGAGAAACAACGAGATTTCTCCCTTCCAAAGCACCGCCGGAGCGTTACGGACTGTCTCACTTTCCAGTGGCGAGCGCGCCGCTCCCTCTCCACCGCGGCTTGCCCCACTGCCGGCATCGTTGATGTGGTGACATTCCCGTAGGCAGCAGTCGTCTCTCCGGCGCGCTACCGGCGAGACCTGGCGCACCGGCTTTTCTTCTTGCTGACGCCGCTCGCATCCCGAACTAAGTCGCGTGCCGTGCTCCATGCACAACAGCTCAGGCAGACCGCGCTCTTCAACTCGTGCTACGGATGTGCACCGACCGCTGCGCGCGCTCACCGGCGAGGCTGACGAGGCTCTACTTCACTTCTCCGATAGGGCCTTCTAATTCGTTATTACCGATCAATTGTCAGCACGTGAATTTTTCCTCTCTCTAATTAAATGAGCGAGTTTTTGGAGACTAATTGAGGTAGCTCATCTGGCATTCACGTCATGCGCTTTTTCCCGGAGGTGTACTCGGTGCCAGAGGGACGCGCGTCTGCCAGCACTCAAGGTTAGCTTGCTTTATTTTTTAGTTTTTTTTTTCGCCTTTCTTCCTTCGGATGCGTCCAGTACAAACGCATAATCAACAGTGCGTTATCACTTCGCGGTGATATATACAAGTCCCGTTCTTAGTCGTTTGTTTTGGTATAAGACCGATGAACAGACTTTAGTGGCGAAAAAAAAAACAAAAAAAAAGAGGAAAGACCTCACTATCTTGACGTGTGCGCCGCACTTGCAATCTGTCATCTCCGCCGCGCCGGTAAACGAACCGCACCGTTTTCTAACCCCTAAACAGGCGATTTCTTTTTTTCTTCTTCTTCTTCTTCTTCTTCTTCTTCTTCTTCTTCTTCTTCTTCTTCTTCTTCTTCTTCCGACGTTGACTTGAAGCACAAAAGTCATGCTCAACATGAGTGTAGATAGCAACTTTTCCAACTCCACCAACTTCACGGATGCCTTGGCGGCCAGTCCAGTCAAGTATCCACTAATCAAGACTATCCACGACTGGTTGATCGTCGGCATTCTGGTATCCATCATGTTTGGCATGGGCTGCCATATCAAGATGTCTGAGGTAAGTGCACTCGTTCTTACACGTGCACTTCCGCTGCAGTCGCGAGCTCGCAACGCCTTTCTGTCGGTGACAGGCGTTGAATCAGCACTGCGCCACCATTTCTTTAATGGCTTTCATATTTAGTCTTTGCTCTGCTCAAGCCCTTTGAGTGGTGAAGTCCCGCCTGAAGAACATGTTTGTAGTTGGTGTGCGAGACAGTTATTGTAGTATCATGCCGTGCTCGTTGTGGTCACCGATACCGCTTTCACATAACATTTCATGGTGTTCTAATGTTCTTGTCATGATATTCTGACAATGATATTGCAAGTTGTGTTCATGGAGAATAAAAAAATAGATGAAACCAGTTGTCTTTTTTCACACAACCTGAAAGTTCGCACGTGCAGTCTTTCCTCCTGTGTCAGGTTCGTGTGCTATGAGGAGAGAGACGGGTGTCGGTGTTGCGATGCAATTAGGGAGCGCTCTGGTGTCCTCGACGGGAAACGAGTTACCAGCGTTAGAATTTCCTGGTCCCGAACGTCCTATCATAAATACTGCAATGATAGAAAACACTGAGCAAAGGACGCTTGCCGTTATCCAATACAAACATGCACACAGATAAACAATGAAGGCTGACGAGCATTGCAGACCCGCCAGGGGCTAGTTTTGTGGCAGCACGCGCCAGCTGCAAAGCCAATAGTGGGTACAGAACGATGCACAGAGGCGTTGTTCCCCGACGTGATCACGCTTATTTTATTCGCTCGCACGGCTAAGGGTACCGCGAGTGGAAGAAAAGAAAAATAAAGACGCCGATCGTCAAATCAGCCGGTTACTTTAATCTGACTAGTATCCTGGTAAGGTGCACCAATGGTAAGGTGAGGAAAGTGATGTGTTTATCGCTGCTCTTGTATATACATCACTCCAAAGCACGCGGGACAAAACTTCCGCAGTCTCAATGAAGACCTCTTCGGTCAATCTAAGCAGACGAGCTCAGTGGTTACAATACGACATTTCATTAGATAAGTTGTCCATGCATTGTAATATGGTGGCACCCGGCTCTGCATACATACGTTTTCGCTGTCTCCTCACTTTAAGGTCCCACAGCCCATTTTCCGACAAGCCTGTGAAGCCAGCTTAACGCTTTACATGTAAAGCTACCAAATATTTCTGAATTGTGAATCTGGACACGTAAATGCGGGGGATCATTGTACTGCTATGCGATCACTTGTCATGGTTTTGGATAACGCCTGAAATTGGGGAAACAATGATGAATGCCAGGAGTTTGACTTGCCAGAACCACGATATAATTTGTTACGAGGCGTACCACTCTAGATTAATTTTGAACACCTGGGTTCTTCAACGTGCACGTAAATCTACGTACACGGTTCCATTGAAATGCGGCGGCCATGGTCGGAAATCAAACCCACGTCATCCAGCATAGCAGGGCGACATGTTACGTGCTAAGCTACCATGACGGGGAGATACTGGGTTCAGTTTGCTGAGAATCAGACCTATAGTAGAGCTTTCACTGACAAGAAGCTTTTCATACAAAAAAAAAACAGAATCTTATCAAGGAATTGCTCAGACAAACATAACGACGCATAAAGCCTATACGAACAATTGACTCTTATGATTGGGTGTTCCGTTCATGTATAGAGCCCGACTACCATGCATTACTTTCAATATCCGAACACCACCAATGGTGTCCACTGTCACCAACGTCTTCAAAAACTACACTTTTGCGAATTTACGCTATAATGCTTATACAAACTATCGGTCATCTGCAACAATACCTTTCCAGGGGCGAAAGGCCTTGATACGGATATGAATGCTTCATCTTCAGGGCTATCCGATAGTCTGCAAAAATCTTTATTCTTGTCCGCATGTACTTGAGAACTATATGAACGAAGCATCAAAACATATCGAGCCGACGCTACCAATACCTGTAATCACACGCACCGTGCTTCACTTCCTGCTGTTGTAGCAGTTTATCGTCGGCATGCAAACACGCGCAATGGACGCCCTCTTCGAGTCGTGGTGCACGGTTTATGCGTAACGTGCGCCGCAGTCCCGTTCTCCCTAAGCAGAATCCCATTAGCGACAAAGACCAACTATATGATTCGCGTCCTTCGACAGATAACGACCACAAGGAAGAACAATGCAGCGAAAGTCAGATAGCCGGGAGGATTGCGTATGTGTTTTTTCTTATGTAGCATGTCCATACTTTCATCTTATGCTTGTTTCGCATCCATGTGCACGGGTTTACATTCAATTATTTTCAGTTAGGTTGTACTCGCAAACCACTATATAGTGGAGAGCCCTGGTGTGGATTTGATCTGCTCCATATTCAATATAGCTGTGAGTCAAGAAAACAGATTTTTTTTTCGTTCAGTAATGAACAACTTTTGCTTTATATAGCATCCTAAAGTAAACCCTGGCGGAGCTTAAAAGTAGTAGACTGCCGTAGCCCATCGACACAACTCTTTACTTAGCCGCTGGTTGAGTAAGCTAACTGGTCTTCTGCACCACAATTTTCGACACCACGGCGATGCATGGCAGTTGAATATTCTGCACGGTAGGGCTGTCCAAATATATTGCAGAAGACTTCGCTTCCCGCTTCTTGGTAAACGCTTTTCCGGAACATTGCATTTAGATATTCCATTAGTGGCCGGGAAACGGCAACAAGACACCAACACAGCATACTGGACAGTGCGTGCTGTATTGGTGCCTTTCTGCCTGAAGGGCAAGTTTGTGCGTGACTTGTCCTTTTTTGTTGTTGTTGTCGTTGTTGTTGTTTTGCATTTCCTGTTAAACTCAGTTCCTGATCACACTTACTGCTGGCCTCAAAACTTTCTCATTCTTGGGGTGTTCGAAATTCGCTAATTGATGTTGTTGGAGACAGTCTGCCGACAGCACTACAGACATATGTTTGCATTGAAATGAATGTAGCGCAGAGCGTATAACTGAATCACGTGGTTAATTTGTGGCCATTGAATTTTGGTGGTTTGTCGGGCGATCAAAATCCGCATTCGGCAAGGTGATGAATCTTCGGGTTGTTTATTTTATCGTTTATTTTATTGTTAAGAAACCGGACTTTAACAGCCTCTCGACAGGCTCTCAAATTGCAAAAAAAAACCTAACACAATATTCTCTCCTGATATTTCTTATCCTTGTGCACTTTTGTCACACAGACAGTGCTTTCCGTGACGTCTATTGTGTACTATCCGCATCAAATGAAACCCGAACCACAGCAAGCCTTTGCCATGGTATAGTGCGCACCATTTTGTTATCACAATTAAGATTGATTGATTTGATTGACTTGTGAGGTTTAACGTCCCAAAACCACCATATGATTATGAGAGACGCCGTAGTGAAGGGCTCCGGAAATTTTGACCACCTGGGTTTTTTTAAGCACCCAAATCTGAGCACACGGGCCTACAACATTTCCGCCTCCATCGGAAATGCAGCCGCCGCCGCCGGGATTCGGTCCCGCGACCTGCGGGTCAGCAGCCGAGTACCTTAGCCGCTAGACCACCGCGGCGGGGCACAATTAAGAGCCGCGTGCATCCTTTTCAGCAGCTCTGGGCTATATACGTGCCTATACATGGTGATAAGTGCACGGCGCGCACTATACCATCGCGAAGGCTTGCCTATGTTAGTGTTTTATTTGACGCGGATAGTACATGCTCTCCATTGTTCCGCATACGCGAAATATCAAATGTGATTTGTCCCCTGCACTGCTTTGCCTAGCAGCCCCCCATTGGTTTTTCCTCGTCACGCAGGAATATTGTGCACGATCGATCAATCACGCTTCGTTTTGTTTGCTTGGAGCTGCGCAAGCGACGATAACGGCGTGTAGACGAGAAGCGTGAAATCATGATTGGCTCTCGCACTTAGTGCTGACATTGTTCGCCTACATTTAGGAACAAAGGGGCGAGCAGTATCCATCGCGTACGTGAAGGGTATAGCGAAGGAGAGGGGAAAACCACCCCTCATCTTTAAACGTGGAGTGGCCATAAGTAGTACATATTCATCAAGACATGAAAGCCGGCGGTTGAGTAACAGCCACGGTGGTCGTATTTCGATGGAGTCGAAAGGCCAGAGGCCCGTGTGTGTGATTTCAACGTACGTTAAGGAACACCAGATAAAGTTGAAATTTCCTGAGCCACCCATTACCACAGGCCTCATCATCATATCGAGGCTTTGGCGCGTGTAACCTCAGATATTATAAGTATTACATATGCATCTCACCGCCTAAGCATATACACCATTGCAATATGCAATTCGCCGCCGATGCACGTGCATTAACTCTTGGTGTGAGCGGGATGCGCCGTGCGAGACGTTTCAGTGTGGCGCAATATGCAGCAATATTTGCCCTTACTCACTTGCGCAAGTGGTCCTGCTCGTCTACAGGTAAGATTAGTAAGCATGGGTCACTGCAAAGATCTGTGGCATCTATATGACATTTACTGCTGTGTCGACTAACCTGGTAAGGGCAAGTAGCATGCAGTTAGCTTGCTTACCTATAGTCTGGCGTAATTAATGCAACCGTGCACTTTTTGCCGTATTCCACTTTTTTTCTTTGACTTCGTGCATGGCGTTCAAATCAGCACCTTGAATACATGTGCAGATCACGTCGCCCACGATCATTGTTCATAAGATAGTGATCAAGAAGTGAGGCAGAGAAGCGTAGTGTGGGTTTTGAGACTTTCTTGTATCTTCCCGTGCAGAATCTACGCTTTGTCTCAAGTGCCCGATTGTCCGCAGGCCTAATGTCTACGTATAAACAAAGACCCAGTCACAGCATCCATTACCACCACATTGATAAACTTGGGAGCCCAAGCGATGACCCTATATGTACAATGCGTGCGCGAAGAAAAACGAGGCTTTTTGTTTGGATACTTCTACTGAATATTCTGCCGTGAGCGAAAGAGATAACACGCGGAGGACTGGCGTAGCTATATCACTCCTAATTTGAGGCCACGCCACCAAAGTATTATACAATTAAAGATTTGTTTGTTTGT